GTGTCTGTGTATATCTGTGTCTATATGTTTGTGTCTCTGTGTGTGTGTCTGTGTGTATGTGTGCGTTTGTGAGTATGTGTCCATGTTTGTATGTGTGTGCATCTGCGTGTATATGTGTCTTGTCTGTCTCTATGTGTATGTCTGTGTGCATGTGTCTGTGTATGTCTATATGTGTCTCTGTGTGTCTATTTGTGTGTGTCTGTGTGTCTCTTGCGTCTCTGTGTGTTTTTGTGTGTGTCTGTGTGCATCTGTGTCTATGTGTCTGTGTGTCTCTATGTGTCTGTGTGTGTGTGTCTGTCTGTGTATGTGTCCATGTCTGTGTGTGTTTATGAGTATGTGTCCATGTCTGTATATGTGTGTGTCTGTGTGTGTGTCCATGTCTGTGTGTGTTTGTGAGTATGTGTCCATGTCTGTATATGTGTGTGTCTGTGTGCATCTGTGTCTATGTGTCTGTGTGTCTCTATGTGTCTCTGTGTGTGTGTCTGTGTATATGTCCATGTCTGTGTGTGTGTGTATGTGTCCATGTCTGTGTGTTTGTGAGTATGTGTCCATGTCTGTATATGTGTGTGTCTGCGTGTATATGTGTCTTGTCTGTCTCTATGTATATGTCTGTGTGCATGTGTCCATGTATGTCTGTATGTGTCTCTGTGTATCTATTTGTGTGTGTGTGTGTCTCTATGTATCTGTGTGTGTGTGTGTCTGTATTTGCCCATATCTGTATGTATGTGTGTCTTTCTGTCTGTGTGTATGTGTCAAATGTCTCTCTGTGTGTCTATCTGTCTGTCTGTGTGCTCCTATCTTTCTCAGACTTTGCCCACTGGGCGGCTGGCCTCTGGCTTTCTGGATCACTGTTGAAATTTTTTTCTGGCAAAGAGCCCACACCCCAGGCTTGGCTGGACAGTCTCCTGGGGGCGGGCAGGGCTCCTGGCAGCCTTCCTCTCTCCTTAGAGTTCAACTCTTCTGCCCTGGTTGACCAATCCCATCAGAGCCTAGAGTCAGACAGACCTGTTCCTGTCTAGCTCCACCACTTGGCAGGATCTTGAGCAAGTCTCTTAATCTTTCTGAGCCTCTGTTTCCTCCGCTTACAAAATGCAGCCAATACCGACCTCAAAAGGTTATTGTGAGGAATCAGTGAAGAAAGTTAACAAGAGCGGCACCCTATCCCGAACCGTGACCGTCCCAGTTCACAGGGCCGCAAGTGTAAAGAGGTGAAGCAGCAGCTCGGGAGGTTTTCTTTGGGGCCGCGCCTGGCTTAAGCCTTACCTCCCATTGTTCTCATCATTATCTCTACTGCTTTTATTAAATGGTGACCTAGAACCTACTTGTGTTGTAACGAACACTTGTACTGGCCAAGGGGATTAACATTATTAGTAATCAGTGTGATGGTGGTGGTAATAACAATCACCTGCTGCTGTAGCCCCTCCAGAAATACAAAGTGCTCTGGAGACCCGCAGTGAGCATTCCAGACTGGGCCATGGTCCTTTATGATTTATGGTTCCCCGTACTCATCCTGCCAGCCACTGTGCCAATCTTGCCATGGGCGTCGCCGGGCTGCTGACAGGCAGAACACAGAATGTGGCCAGTCTCTGAGTGTGCAGCCTACAGCACAAGAGAGCCAAAGCTGGGGCCCAGAGAACGGGTCGGAGGGCACAGAGTGGGATGCTCCCGGCCGGGGAAGTTCTACACCAATGTGTAGGTCACACAAGAGACTGGCTCGCTCGCTCGGCAGATAAGCGCTTGCCGAGCGAGCGAGCGAGCGAGCAAGCGAGCCTGTGACCTGAGTTAGATCCCCAGACCCACTTCAAAATGAAAGGAGAGAACAGACTCCACAAACTTATCCTCTGATCTCCACACGCATGCACACACAGACAAGCTAATAAAGTTGAAAGGGTTTGTTGTTGTTGTTGTTAAAAGTGACACACAAGGAATTAAGTTTAAGTGACAAAGACAGTTGACACCCACGGTGGCAGAGCTGAAAGCTGCTCTTCTCTGGGAAGCCTCCCCTGTCAGCTCGGGGCCTCAGGCAGGAAAGGAAGGATTTTCAGGAGACGGTTGGCAGGACTTCCTATCTGTCACCAAGGCTTCCCACACCCAGGGCTGGCAAGCTTCCTGAGCACGCATGAGCACAAGCGTGGCACATCTGGGCAGGAAGCTGCTGCACCAAGTCCAGGAGACTCAGTCTCCCCCAACCCCATACCCCTCTGGCTCCATGTTGGGGTTTTGTCGGGGGGAGCCACTTGCTTATGCTGTGTTTGGGTTTGCCTTTTGTTTTGTTTATTGAGACAGGTCTCCTATAGCCCAGGCTGGCCTCAAACTTGCTCTGTAGCTGAGGTTGGCCTTGAACTCTTGTTCCTTCTGCCTCTGCCTTCCAGGTGCTGGGAACAGTCACGCCCCACGACTGTTTTGTCTTTTTTCGGGTAGGGGAGGAGGTGTCAGCAGCCTGCCTGTCTCCATGGCTGAATTGTGTAAATCTTTTTTCTTGTCTTGTCTTTTTTTCTTTCTTTTTTGTTTTTTCTCATGAAAGTGTAAGGACACCCCTCTCATAAGCAAGGTCTAGGGACCCTACATGTGCCTAGTTCTAGAACACATACATGTCATTAACCCTACATGTCCACAGCTCTGGATGCCCTCTTTTCTCCTCCTCCTCCTCCTCCTCCTCCTCCTCCTCCTCCTCCTCCTCTTCCTCACAGGGTCTCACCATGTAACTCAGGTTGTCCTAGAACTCTCTGTGTAGCCCAAGCTGGCCTGGACCTGTGATGAGCTCCCTGCCTCTGCCTCCCGAGTGCAGGACTTTGCAGGCATGTGCACCATGCCCAACTAGAGTCTTAGGAATTTGATCCGAGGTCTTGCTTTCTAGTCTTGCACTTGGCAAATGACCTTGGGGAAGCTCGGAGTGGCCTCTAAGACTGCTATGCTCCAGAGGTTCCTGACACTCAAATCACAGTTCGGGGGCACATGGCCAAGTACCCCACAGCATGTCAGACGTGTGCTGTCATAGGTTCCGCCGGCCCATGTGATCAAGATCCCTATTTTGAAAAGACTTTAGATGGTTCTCATGCTCATGAAAGTCAAGATGCGCTGCCATGGGTGACATGTTTTAAAGTCCTAGGGAAACTCAGGAGAGATAGTTCTAAGGGCGATTGTAGCTACTCTGGTGGGCCTTGCTCAAGTCACCCTCTCTCTCTTAAGCCTTTTCTGGAATGACAGGAGGTTGCTACACACCGAGGTCTGTGTGCCCTCCAGACCTACTAAGTTCTAGTTGAGAACAATGCTTCCTTCATGCCGAACTCACCAGCATGGGAGGCCAGAGCTAAGAGCATGTAACCCTGCCTGAGCCACCCCAAGAGCAGGCTCCCCATCCTGCTCTGTGGCCCTCTCTCCTATCCTTCCTCAGTCCTCTTGCACACTAATCACATCCCTCTAGTGGCAGTAGAAGCCAGCATCGTGTACCAGCATCCTCTCTTCAGCCCAGGCTTGCCTCAATGCCTCCTCCCTTCCCTTAGCCTACCTCAGGCAAGCCTGTCTCACCGGAGATAGTTCTAAAACCTTTCCCTGATTTCCCCGACACACCCCGAGAACCAGCAAGATCCCTCTTCCTCACCCACGGTTCATTAAGCACCTATGAACACAAGGCATGGTGCCTGGATGTGATCCAAATGGCCAGCATCGAACAAGACAGTCGGGGTTCCTGAGCTCCAAGGGGAACACAGCTGTCAAAGAAAGATACTATCGAGTGCTGGCTTGAATAGCGGATATACTGAAAGTAGAACTATATAGAGATTAGCATCTCAGCGAACAAAAATGTCACACAAATCCATGAAGATTCCATACTTCTTGCCTTTGGCCCCTCTGGGCTCACTGTCAGCCAGCCTACCCCCTTTAGGGTAGCTCCTGAATCTCGATGGCCCAGGGCCTGTCAGTGGTCTAGACTCCCACAGGCACATCTACGATGTGTGGGTCAGCCACTCCCAGGACCTGGCTGGCCCTGTCCAGGCTGGCTCCAATCTTGGGATAGCCTGGGAAGCTCCCAGGGCAGAGGCTGCGGCTCCCTCTCACCGGAAGGAGAAGGGGGTCGGAAAGGCATCCACAGCCACAGGAGCTCTGGAGCAGCAGCACAGCCACGCTGAGACCGCAGAAAGGGGGGTGGCCCAGCGGGGGACAACCCTGGCCCTGGCCAGACACGTCTCTGCCTCCCTGACACACAGGGACAAGACTGGAGGAGCGTGACTTGAATTTCTGATCTCAACCAGGTAGCCCTGGCCCCATCATTTCAGGCCATCCATCTATCCATTCACCTAAATCTGTCACTTCCCCTCTCGGGCCCCAGGCTGTGGGAGGGAGACTCTAAAAGTGGGTGCTGCCCCTAAACTGCCCTCAAAGGAGGTAACAACTTTTGGAGGAAAAATACAAAATAAAGACTAGGTCCTACATAGTTTTGGAGTGACGGAAGCAAAGGCAGTAACTTTTTTTTTTTAATGCAGCAATAAAAGAATGAGAGCATTGAAAAGTCATTAGTGGTCATTTATTCTGTCAGCGATCACTTATGGACAACTGTGCACCAGGCCTTTGGGCTTTGGTGAAAACAACACAAGAATCCCCGCCTTTCTCCAATGTGAAATTGTTGTAAAAGTTACCAGAAAGGGAGGCCAAGTGTGGTAGCACATGCCAACACTTCCAGCACTCAGCAGGTGGCAGAGGCAGGGTCAGGAGTTCAAGGTCAACTTCACTTCAGCTACACCGAGTGAGACTCAGCCTGAACTACATGAGAACCTATCTCAAAACAACCAGAAAACATTGGCAGTATGTATACAGGCCACCGCTCCTCTACTCAACGTAAAGAAAAATAAATATCATTCCCTCTTCTCAAAATCCTGCTGAGCCCTAAGGACAGTTTGTCTCTCGGTCTAAATCCTCCATCTCGGCTCGGGATGGAGGACCATTTGCCATTTCTCCTTGGGCTCTGACCCAAGCCACCACCCGGGGGTAGCCTCTGAGCCAAGGAGGTCCCCACAGGTTGGGCTTACCCTGCATACAAGGAAACTCTTGCCTTAGCTCCTTTTCTGTCCTGGACCCTTCCCTCCTCACCTCCATTCTTCCCCTTGTTTTCAGCAGGCCTGAGGTCCCAACTCAACCCTTTCTCGCCTACCACACACCATGTACTGCAGCTGCTTCTCGGAAGGCATTCTGACCACCCCTGCCAACTACTGGATCTCAGGTGAGACTCCCGGCCTCCTCCCCAGGCTCTTCCAGTTGACTTGGGCAGGGCCCGAGGACAGTAGGTGACCCTCACACTCCCCCACCCCAGGTCTGGCCTTCCCTGACTGGGCCTTCAAAGCCGAGTCGTCGCCAGGCTCCCGGCAGATCCAGCTGTGGCACTTCATCCTGGAACTGCTGCAGAAGGAAGAGTTCCGCCATGTCATCGCCTGGCAGCAGGGAGAGTATGGGGAGTTCGTCATCAAGGATCCAGATGAAGTGGCCCGCCTCTGGGGCCGCAGGAAGTGCAAACCACAGATGAACTATGACAAGCTGAGCCGGGCCCTCAGGTGAGGAGGAGAGGTAGCCAGCAGTAGGAGACGCAGAGTTCAAGGAAAAGGGCTGCGGTTCCTGGCACTCCAGGCTGCTTCCCACCGTGGCAGGGCTTGGGAAATGCCCTCGCTGTGGGAAAATGGCTGGTGTCCTCCAGTTACCTGCTAGATGGATGGAGGAGGTGCTGAGTCTCTTCCTCCCTCAATTCTCTAGGTATTACTACAATAAGAGGATCCTGTACAAGACCAAAGGCAAGAGGTTTACCTACAAGTTCAACTTCAGTAAGCTCATTATAGCCAACTGTCCTCCATGGAAAGTGTGGACACCCTCTGCCCCTCACCTGCTGTTGGGGTCCGCTGCCATGTGTCAGCCAGCCTTGGTGCCTGTGCCTGTGCAGAGTGAGGTAGGCACGGAGGCAACCCCTGTCCTCAGAACTCTGACAGGACCTGCTCCTCTGTCCCGGAAGCCCCAGGCCACACTCCACCTTAGAGACCTACCTACTGGTCTCCAGTGTTCTCACATCTTCTAATCCCTGAGTACCTCAGGACCTAGTCTTTGTGAGCCACACCTACCTGTGAGGAAGGATGACTTCTGTGCTAGACATCATCTTTCAGTGATGTGTCAGAGAGAAGGTTAAGGGGTGCAGGGGGAGGTTCGGGGCATCTGAGACAGCAGCCACTAGCTGCTTAAGAATCAATCAATATGGGACGATCTTGTCACACTAACAACTGGGAGACAGTCCTGCTGTGTCTTAGAAGCCTAGATACCAGAGAGAGCCTGTCCCGCCCCAGCCTCCTTTGCCCCCCTCTTTAGCCCCTACATAGCACGCTGTACACCCACTGGGCCACCGAAACGCAGCTGGCTGGAGAGAGGACCTCCCGGGAGCCACTGGAAACCTCTGGAGAGAAGGGAAACAGCCGCTTCGATGGTGAGTGTTGAAGACGGGATTAAACAAAGGAGGGGAGCCTCCCGGGGCCGCCTGGCCGAGCATATGCCCAGGCAGGCATGAGATAAGAGATCTTCGTTCAGTCAGTGCTTAGTGACTCTGTTTACTAGGCATGAGGCCCAAACATGAAAGATGGATGGTTAGAAACAGAGTCTGGGAGGAAGTAGAGATGGGAGGGCTGCTAGTTCCTACAGGTGCCGGGAGGGCCCAAAAGAGGACTCCAGGCTCCCTGGAAGAGGGGAAGAAGGGCCAAGATGCCCTGGCGTAGGAAAAGGGAGAGCTGTGAGCATGGAAGGCACATCTGGAATGCTGCTACTATCATCGGGGTAGCACATGGAAGGGCACATCTGGAATGCTGCTACTATCATCGGGGTAGCACATGGAAGGGCACATCTGGAATGCTGCTGCTATCATCGGGGTAGCATCAAGGAGGATGGGATGGTGAGGGAGGTGTGGGAGGCAGTTGCCAGGCCAACAGCTACCCAGGTCCAAAGGGCCTCAAAACCATTTGAAAGGGGCTGAGCTTTCTCCCATAAGCAGAGAGTCCAGGAAGAAGAGGTATGTTTAGATTTTCATTTTATTTATTTGTTTTTGTGGCACAGGTGATGGGCCTTTATATGCTCATCAAGCACTCTACCAACTGAGCCACATCCCAGTCCCTAGATTTCATTTTATAAATTACAAAAGGTTCCAATCTGACAACAATTTGACTTAGGATTTCTAGACCTGATGATACAACACAGAGGCAGTATGCATTCCGTGACAGAAAACACATCTAGAATTTTGAAGTTTGACCTTTCTGTTGGCTATCAACAGGAGGTGCAGGGAGCTGCCGCTCCAGTCATCCACGTATCACGAGAGAAACCACCCAACACTCCACAGCACACTGCTGGACTGACTCATTCTGCAGGCTATATACACCCAACACACTTTTGACCTATATTACTTTCAACTCACAACGGGTTTGTTTATTAGCCCATAACCCTATCGTAAGTCAGCAAACATCTGTATGTAGGCTGTGTGTGGCTGGAATTAGAGGAGGAACCAGGCTGTCACTGGAAGGCTTTTAATTTTTTTTAAATTGTTTTTAATTATGTGTAGGGGAATGTGTCTGCACGTGGGTATGTGCACGTGAGTGCAGGTGCCCTCAAGAGGCCAGAGGCATTGAATATCCTGGAGCTAAAATTATAGACAGCTGTGAGCCCTCTGACATGGGTGCTAGGAACAGACCTCAGGTCCTCTGGAAGAACAGGAACGCTCTTAACCACTGAGCCATCTCTCCAGCCTCCACTGGGAATTTTGTTGTTGTTGTTGTTGTTGTTCAGCTAATCTAAGAAGGGGACTCTTGGGTCATGGGGCAAAGAAGGAAGCTGAGCTGAAGAGAGGATGTCAGTCTTTCTTCTTTCATCAGATGTTTAATTGCCTCCTGTTTAATGCACCAGGGTCTGAAGTTCAGATGTGAGCAATGCTGCCCTTCTAGGGCTCTTGGTCAAGGGCTTAAAGGCGGTTACCAATAGATACACAATTATATCTGCTGCTCAACACAAAGGGGTCGATGCTGGGGGTGCTGGGGACAGCGGGGAAGACTTCCTTGGCCAAGTGACTCAGCAGACATCCGAGGTACACACACAGGCTCAGCTGCACTTACAGGAAGAAAGGAGAGCAAGATTTTAAAGGCCTGAGACAAAGAGGGACTGGGCCCACACTAGTGGTGGCACTCCATGATGGAGCGAGGGGAGGAGGTGGACACTGGTAGACACCAGTGGCACTCAAAGCAAGCGGGCCAGGCTTTCTTTGGAAAGACCCAACCCAGGTATCTTCTGCAGAGGTGCACGCCCCTCCACTTCAGGCAGTTTTGAGGATTAGGACCACCCACCTTTACCCACCCACAGTGCAGGCCATGGATGCAGGGTAGTTGGGCCATCAGTCTGGCATCCTAGAGCTACCTAGCACATCCGAGGGGGTTTCTCCGTTCCTCTACCCCACCATTCTCCCAGCACCAGAGTGCTGAAGACACCAAGCTTACCCCTCTGGGAAACTATAAGCCCCAAATTTTGTACAACCCTTCACACACACACACACACACACACACACACACACACACACACACACACACCTTCCCTGTGCTTGGGCCCTGAAGGGCATGAAGGTTTTAGGTCAGCAGAGGGCTGGCAGCAGTAAACTGGCTATATGAAGTACCACTTGATCTGCTTTCCCAGTTTTTATTCACTGTATCACACCCATGTGACCCCATTGGTCTCTTAGTTAAATGATGTGGCCTTGCTTAAAAAAAAGAAATAAAGTAGCATTTCAAGAGGGCTTGCTGAAATAGAAAAACATGCTGTGGAGCTCTGTCTAGCCTTTTCCAGGAACCCCAGCCTGAGCAGGCCCTGCGGGGGCCCGGCAGGTGGGAGGGCAGACGGAGGGAATAGAAGGAGGAAACTTTTTTAGAGGAAGAGCGCTATGGGCCTAGCATCAGACAGAAGGGGAAGGCTGTGGATCCCACACATGGCCTCACAGTCCTGAACTTCACGGGTCCCTTCTTACACCTAATCTTAGCAGATGTCCGTTGATCCCAAGCAGGACGGAGGCCTTCATACCCAGGTGACAAGCACTTGGTCCCACAATCAGTTCTTTACCCAGCTAACACGTGGAGCCTTTGAGCAGGGGAAGCCAGAGTCAAGACGGACTCACTGGGTTAGGACACAGACTCCCGTTCAGTCTCTCCACACATTTCTGCTGAGGTCCAGATTCAGTCTGGACCAGATTCAGAGGAGCAGAAAGCCACTAACAGTTCCCACTCCAGCAACCCTAGGGACACCGACATTAAAGCAACAGGCGCATATAGCTAACTATATGGTTTCCGACCGGGCCAAGTGCCCCAGGAGAGGTGAAGGGAGAGGACCGAAAGGTGCTCCCACAAGGCTGGCAGAGTCTCAGGATGGTCCTTCTAGAAGTAGGATAAACCAAACAAGAGCAAAAAAGAGGGAGATGAGCCCCCCCCCCCACACACACACCCGGGGAAGGGGAGGGAGCACTGATGGGGAGGATTCTGAGTAAGAGAAAACAGAAGCGGGAGCCCCCCCAGGAGAGCACTCACCTGACAGGCAGGAAGTCCCAGGTTTGTAATGCCAGCACTCAGGAGCTGGAGTCAGGAGTTCAAGGCCATCTTCAGCTACATAACAGATCAAGGCCAGCCTAGCTCCTCGAGAGTCTGTCAGAGGGAAGGGGAGGGGAGGGGGTGGAGAAGGGAGAGGAGAGGAGGAGAAGGGAAGGAGGCGGAGGGGCATCTGGGGAGGCTGCCCTCTTGACCCTCTCTCTCTCTCTCTCTCTCTCTCTCTCTCTCTCTCTCTCTCTCTCTCTCTCTCTCCAGGTTTTGGCTCGGCTCTGGGCCCAGGCTGGCAAGGTCCTTGCTGCTGTCTCCTGAACCTCCAAGGTGACCTTCCCAGATTCGCTTCCTTTACACATGCACCCTGCCTCTGCTGTAACTGGACCCACCTCTCGGGGCCCATCTTGCCTCCTTTCTCCTCAAAGCAGCCACGTTCAGGGTCCTCCAAGCCGGGTCCTTGGCTCCCAGGCCCGCCCTGTACGCCAGGTGCCTGGCATTTTCCAGGACTCCCCCTTCTGGCCAGGCTGAGACAGGGCACCGGCGAGAGGCTTCAGGGCTGGTTTCTCAGGCCTGAGGAATTGGTGGTAAATCCTGGCCCAGGGCCAAAGGGGCACCTGGATTCCAATGAGGGACTCTCCTCAGGGACTCAGAGACTCAAACTTGGAAAAGGAACTCTCATGTCCCCCAATCCAGAGAACCTCAGAGCCACGTGGCCTTTGGATCCCCCTTAATTGGAGAGAAAGAAGTCAAGGGGCGGCCCCTCCCCTTTCCCCCAACTCCGACTTTCCCACCATCTCCTAGTTGGACACCAGCCAGACTCACTGGAGGACCTGGAGGGTGAAGCTAGACCAAGGTGGGGTAAATGTGGGCATGGGGAAACTGAGGTAGTGCCCCCTCCCCTCCTACCAAATGGTTATCAGACTAAGGAGACATTATTAATCTCAACTTTTTGGAGGGAAATAAGATTAAGGATTTCCATCACTGAACGGCCCCATACCTGGCCACGAGAGGGAAGTAAGGGGCAGGCGGGGGCAGATAGGGCTGGTTTGGCTTAAGTCTGAGGGTCTCTTTCTTCCTCTGGGTTCATTTCCCCATCATGTCTAAGGTTTCCAGGACCTCCCCCTACCCCTTCACATGTTTCTCTGCCCTCCCTCTGACTGGAACCTCTGTCCCGGGAAGGCTCTTGCAGGTGCAGAGGGAGGAAGGAGTTGGTTTTCTCATCTCTGCAATCCTCCACTGCTAACTGTGAATAAAAAAGCCCTTGGCAAACTGCCCTCTTGGCCAACAGCCTTTCTCCAGCGCACCCCAGGCTTGGCTGTGTTCCTCCTGTGTTCCCATCATTGGTGGTGCTGAAGGCAACCCAGGCATCCTGCTGGGAAATGCAGAGGAGGGCCTGAGGCTTGGAGTGAGACTGGAATCACTCACTCAAGCTCCTTCTTTCTACCATCGCTCCTGAGAGAAAAAGTGAACCAAGTAGGGGCCCCAGACCTACCAGGAAATGAGGGAAGCCGGTCCCAAAGACAGAGGAGCAAACAGAGCAAGGGTCTTTGCCAAAGACCTTAAGACCCCTGTAGAGGAGCTCTGGGCAAGACTCTAATGGTCAACGTGGGAAAGGAAGCCGGTGCTGAATTTCCTCTGTCTCTGCATGGGTTCCTAGTGATGAACAGCAGAGCAGGCTTGGAGCACCTGGGCAGAGGGCAGAGAACACATAAGAGTCTCTGCTTAAGACCAGATGATCGGTCGAGAGGGATGCAGCACAAGCCAAGGCCACTGAGCCATGCCGCTCTCCGGCCTCTAGGCTATCAATGACAGGGCTTGGATTTGTCTGCTGTCCTTTTTCTATGGAACAGCCCATGAACTGGAAAGGCCCGAGGGTTCCTCCTCCCGTTCCGAGTTCCTCTTGGAGCCTCTCTAACATTACTTTTCTGCAGCCTCTTGGTCTTGTGACCATGCACTGTCAGTCAACTAGAATGGGTAAGAGCAGCTGCAGAGGACAAGGCACGACCCTCGTGCACAGACAGGCCAAGATGGTCCCTGTCTCCCTCCCTCAGCCCAATGTCAAAAAGCAAATGTAGGCTCTTTCCCAGGATTCCCCATGGCCACAGTGAAAACTACTCCCCCTTCTCCCGTCCCTGAGGTCTCATCCCCAGAACTTAAGGACCGGCACAGGGCTTTTACCCTCCTCAGTGTAGAAGACAAAACAGTGTGCCAAGCGCAGCACCGGGAAGCAGAGGGTACACTCATCGGGCACGTGTCCTGTTCAGAGTGGCTAGCCCTAAGGACAGGGTTTCTCCATAAAAAAGAAATTCTATGTTCTCTGCCTGGTCCCACCTCCTCTTCAGTGGTATGTGGTGATTGTAATCCCATATTTCTTTGAGGCCTACATTCTAAGATTGCCCTTCAGGATAGGTAAAGCCCACCACAAGGACTCGCTTCCAGGTGGTACTTTCTTTATTGGAGGCCACCGATCTTGAAGAAGCAGACCTTTTCCATATGGCACCATTGGTATTTTTTTTACTATGTAATTCATTGTTACTGAGAGCTGTCCTGTGCACTCCTGAATACTTACCAAAACATGGGTCCATACCCAGACAACAGTAGCAGCACCCGCCTCCACCCAGCTGTGACAACCCCAAATGCCTCCAGAAAGTGCTAAACATCCCCTGGGGAAAGGGGATAAACTGCTCTGGGTTGAGGGTTGAGATCCACTAAGTTCCACAAATCCAGGTTTTCTTGGCAAAGATGGAAGCATCTTCCAGGAGAGATGTGGGCTTCATGTTGCAAGAGTGCCCTCTGGTGGCTGGAGTTGGTACTCTTTACTCAAAGCTCTGAACTAGACTTGTGTGTCAGTTCGGCGTCCAGAAAGGAGTGATGGCAACTTGGAGTCTCTGAGATGAAGAAGTGGATTGCAAAATGCAGGCGTACTAGAAGGGCCCTTCCCTTGTAAAACCTCCTTAAATATGATTGTCAATCCATCAAAGGGCCAATCTGTCCAATGCAATCCATCAAAGGGCCAATCTGTCCAATGCAATCCATCAAAGGGCCAATCTGTCCAACGTAGCAACGCAGACAGTAGAGATTCCGGGGTTTTGTTTTGTTTTGTTTTTTAAGATTTATTTATTATTATACATACAGTGTTCTGTTTGCATGTGTTCTTGCAGGCCAGAAGAGGGCACCAGATCTTATTACAGGTGGTTGTGAGCCACCATGTGGTTGCTGGGATTTGAACTCGGGACCTCTGGAAGAGCAGTCTGTGCTCTTAACCACTGAGCCATCTCTCCAGCCCCGAGATTCCGTTTTAATATAACCAGGTCAGCCACCAACTCCAGACATAACTTTGGCACCCTGTGACCTTCAGCCTCAAGTGCAGAAGGTGCAGTGAACACCCAGGATTTCTCAGGGACAGTAGTGCAAGGCATACTCAGCAACCACTCTACTCCTGGGCCTTCCTCTGTGGTACTAGAAAACCTAGGAGACTCACAAGGGCTTGAGAACTTAGGAAATCTAACTCCTGGGCCGCCAGAAGGGACCTCTGAGATCCCAAAGGAAGGGGTTGTTTCAGATCACAGGGAAGATGATCATGGACTTACCTTCTGAAACTATAAGCAACTCCCCCTCTCCATTAAATGCTTTCCTTTATAAGAGTTGCCTTGGTCATGGTTGTTAGGATTCTGTACATGTGCAGCTCGGGGTCCTGTGTCTTACGTCTTACATCCTCAGTGGGCACTGGTGACTATGGACCCGCCGCGTGGTCACGCAATTCCCGCCTTAAAAAGCCAGACTCAGACCCTCTCTCTCTCTCTCTCTCTCTCTCTCTCTCTCTCTCTCTCTCTCTCTCTCTCTCTCTCTGTTCCCTCTCTGCTCCCGCCATCTTCCTTTCTGTCCAGGCCTGGCCCTCCTCCCTCCTATCCCCTCTTTCTTTCTAATAAAGCTCTTTGTATCTCTGGTAGTCACAGCCGTGGCCCGTGACTTTTCCGCCCGTAGCTAGCGTTGCCACCAGTGCCATTTATCATAACCAACAATGGTGTCTCTTCACAGCAACAGAACATTAACTAAGACACCAGCCATGTCCTAAGTGCTTCCTGTATGCCATTTCAACCAATGCAGGGGCTTCAGGAGGTAGGCCCTGTTATCATCCCACTGTACAGGGGAGGACAAGTACAGAGAGATGAAACAGCCTGGCAAGCGGCAGAGGTCGGGTGCAGACCCAAGCCATCTCCCCACAGTCTGGCCCAGATGCTGGTCCAGGATGCCAATTGCAAAGAAGTCTTCCACTGTTACCAGTCACCAGCCTAAGACCCTTTCACTCTATCTAGACAGAAGTCACAGGGAGTGAAAGAGAAGGTCTTTGAGCGCTGGTCTGACTCTGATTTGACAGCAGAGAGGCAGCAGTAGGTGGTGCCTCTTGTGTAGGCCAGAGTGCTAGATCCCTTGCTCTATAAGGGGTCTAGCTCTTGTATAGACCTAGGGAGTCAAGATTCCTCAAGCCGTCTCCCAGGCACCACCATCTCTCCACCATCAGCACCGGCTCGCCTCCATCTCCCTGCCCTGGCTGATCTTGTGTTGTTCATCGGCTTCTTCAGCTCCCAGCCTAGTGTTGACACAGCTCAGGGAGAGGCAGCAGAGGCAGCAAAGTGCCTCACTGCGCTGAGCAGCCTGCGTGCATAGCCAGGGGAAGGGTGTCCACACCAATCACAGTTGCTCACAAATAGTGCTTTGTGTTTGCACCAATCCTAGCCCTGCCTCTCTGCCAGTCCCTCTGTTGGGCCAGGAGGTGCTCCCCCTCTGGCCTAGGTGAAAATGGGTTGCAGGGTCATCTAGAGTTCACCAAGACTTGTGGTAGCAAAGCTCCAACAGCTGCGGATCAAGAAATCAAATAGCCCCATCCCTCCAGTGTCTGCTTATTTACTGGGAAATGGACACCAGGAGTGCTTACAAGAAACTTGACATTGATGCTAAGAATGATTCTAACCGGCTCAATAGTGTGTGATACCTGCCAGTTCCAAAGGGAGGCGTTTCCCCTTCTCTGTCTAGCTGGGTGTCCTAGTTATGGTGACTATGGCTGTGCTGAAACACCATGATCAAAAGCAGCATGCGGAGGAAAGGGTTTATTATCATCAAAAGCAGTGAGAGCAGGAACTCAGGCGGGGCAGGGACCCGGAGGCAGGAACTGATGCAGAGGCCTTGGGGGGTGCTGCTCACTGGCTTGTTCCTCATGGCTTGCTCAGCCTGCTTTCTTATGGAACCCAGGACCACCAGCCCAGAGATGGCACCACCCACGATAGGTTGGGCCCTCTCCATCACTAATAAAGAAAAACGCCCTATAGCCGGATCTTATAAAGTCATCTCACTGGAGATTCCCACTTTTCAGATAACTCTAGCTTGTGTCAAGTTGACCTGAAACTAGGTAGCATGGGGGGGGGGGGGGGGCGTGGCTCAGCTCCTGTGGCCCTTCCCCACTTATGGCCACTTTTATCCACAAAAATGAAAGTGTTACATCATAACTGCCTTCTTCGGTAGGTCTTTAAACAGATGGTATGAGAAACCAAATAAAATCTCTCCTAAGCCTGGCAGCCTACATCAGTCCCCTGGAACCCCCCGTGGTGGAAGGAGAGACGTGATTCCAACGAGTTGTCTGGTGTCCTGCATATGTTCACTGTAGCATGAAAGCGCAAGCACACACACACACACACACAATCAACCAACCAATCAATCCATCCATCAATGTAAAGGAAAAACGCTAAACAAATCCTGCAGCTCTGCCATAAAGTGGCCTCAGCCTCCTCAGCCTCGGCTTCCACCTTGTCTTTTTGCTTTTGTCTTTTAAGACAATGTCTCACTATGTGAAGCTGGGCTCTGGCCCTCCTGCCCCAACCTCTGCCACCTGAGTGCCAGGACTGTAAGTGCCACCACACCTGGCTCACACGGCTGATGCTAGCCTAGGTCAGCCCCGGCATCCACCCCAAATCCCCTTTCGCCCTCCCCGTTCCTAGCCCCTCGTGACTACCGTGCTCCCACTGTGGCACCCCTTCCCTGCCAGTCAGGGTTTCTATGGCTGTGGTGAAACGCCATGACCAAAAGCAAGTTGGGGAGGAAAGGGTTTATTGGGCGCACGCTTCCACGTCATCACAGCCCATCACTGAAGGAAGTCAGGACAGGATCTCAAGCACAGCAGGAACCTGGA